TCCACTGAAATAATGACTGCTAATTTTTTTCCTAAGTAACGTATTTTTTTAAATTTAATAATTTAAATTCAAGTTCATTAACATACCACGTAGTACTGGTTTCAGGAGTAGAACCCAGTGATTCATCACTTACATATAACACCTAGTGCTCATGCCACCAAATGCCCTCCTTAATGCCCATCACCCATTTAACCCATCCCTCCACCTACCTCCACTCCAGTAACCCTCAGTTTGTTCTCTGTATTTAAGAGTCTCTTATGGTTTGCCTCCCTGTTTTTTATCGTATTTTTCCTTCACTTCCCCTATGTTCATCCGTTTTGTTTCTTAAATTCCACATATGAGTGAAATCATATGAAATTTGTCTTTCTCTTATTTCAAAACTTATAATACACTGTAGTTCCATCCACATTGTTGCAAATAGCAAGATTTCATTCTTTTTAGTCACCAAGTAATATTTATACCACATCTTCTTTATTCATTCATCAGTCAATGGACATTTGGGCTCTTTCCATAATTTGGCTATTGTTAATAGAGCTGCTACAACATTGGGGTGCATGTACCCCTTTTATTCAGCATTTTTGTATCCTTTGGATAAATATCTAGCAATGCAATTGCTGGGTCATAGGTAGCTCAATTTTTAATTTTTTGAGGAACCTCCATACTGTTTTCCAGAGTGCCTGCATCAGTTTGCATTCAGTGACTGCTAGTTTTATTATCAGTACTCTCAATTTCTCAAACTCTTAGCTTCTAGAAATTCAGAAATGAGGCTTTTGTTTGTTAATATCCAGAGTGAACACTGAAGACTCTGATACTAGTTATAATATTTATCTAAAATTAGGGAAGAAAATAGGTGTCTCTACCACTGTCCTCTTTTATCATTTTATCTCTGGGTTGGTTAATTCAGGTTTAGGAGGAAAGGATAGGGATGGCAAAGTTGGAAAGAGGAAAAGTTACTGCAGTCTGAAGTCCACAAAGACTCTGAACTCATGGGGAGAAGTTAGTAGGCCTTCCTGTTACTGTGAGGTTGATATGTTATGAGGTAGTCACCTTTTGCTGAAGCCTGGCTGGCTTCCTTGAAAGTAACAGTCAGCAAGTGACTAACCAGGCCTAGCAAGACTGATCCTGACACAGGAAGCCACAAAATGATGAGAGACCTGGGGATGCCCAAAGGAAGTTCATAGGGCGTACTCTCCAATTATTCTAGGTCTTGGCTTGCAAACTCTGCCAAGACCTCAGGAAATCTTTCATGAGTGCCAGTAGGAACCTTTCAGCCAAAGCGCTGTGAAAGATGATTCTTAAAAACTTGGATGCTTACGTCTGCAAAGACTGTTTTTACTCTCAGTTGAAAAAATGTTTGCAGAGAGGGTTCTCCGAGAATCTTATTTATGACTAATAACAACAGTGTGCTGATTATTCTCCATTTGTCTTCTTGAGATTCAGTCTGCATCCTTCTATGCCTAGCTCGAAGTCCTCAGAAGCTGAGCCATGCAGACTCATCACCATGTTCCAACACCTTGCCACCTAGTTTCCTGTTGGGTTTGGCCAATGGAAGATATCAACATGAAACTGGAATGTTTGAGAAGAGAGAGACTGGCATTCTTTCCTGCTTCCTTTTTGCTATACCACTTGCTCTCTGGCAGTAGCTGTATCTCTATTTCACTGGGCCACTCCTTCACAGTTGCAGTCCAGAAACACTAATTTCTCTCCAAAGAGTTTCTTACTAAGCTGTTTCTGTATGCTTCATCATCTCATTTATTCCCATAACTATGCCCACATCTTTTTAAATAGTCTCTTCATTTGGACTGAATTCTGTTTCCTGCTGGGTCCCTAACAATTACTACATTTTAAAACCTATTGGGGTGTCTGGGTGGCTCAGTCACTTGAGCATCTGACTCCTGATTTCAGCTCAAGTCATGATCCCAGTGTCCCAGGGATCCCATGTCTCAGGGATCTGGCCCCATGTTGAGCTCCATGTTGAGCATGGAGTTTGCTTAAGATTCTCTCGGGGCACCTGGGTGGCTCAGTCGGTTAAGCGTCCGACTTCAGCTCAGGTCCCAATCTCACAGACCGTGAGTTCGAGCCCCGCATCGGGCTGTGGGCTGATGGCTCAGAGTCTGGAGCCTGCTTCCGGTTCTGTGTCTCCCTCTCTGTCTGCCCTTCCCCCGTTCATGCTCTGTCTCTCTCTGTCTCAAAAATAAACGTAAAAAAAAAATTTTTTTTTAATAAAAAAAAGATTCTCTCTCTCCCTCTGCCCCACTCCCCCACTCATGTGCTCTCTCTCATGAAATAAATAAAATAAAATAAAATAATAAATAAAGCCTATCTAAGCCTCACCATAACCCTGCAAGATACTATTATTTCCCATTTATAGATTAGGACATATGATTTAGACAAGTAAAATGCCCAAAGTCACACATCTAGTATCAGAATGGGTATTAAAACTCTAGTCCTAACAAAATCCATGTTCCTTTTTCCCTTTAAGTTTGTAAACAAATTCTATTTATGCTTTTTTCCAAAGATTAATTTTATTTAAATATAAACAAGGTTTTATATCAACTGTTTTATGAATATATCAATTAAGCTTGAGCCCTTATTCTGAAACATAATTTGATTAAATTCACAAATCACTAATTCAAGTACAGCATCCCTAACTGATAAGCTTTAATAACTATAATGAGAACAAAAGACTCTTATTTAAAACAATGATAAAACCTGATAATCTGCTTTTGCCTGGTGCTAATTTTAAGTCTTCTTTGCCTTTGACTTTTTGGCAGACACCCTGCATTACAACTCCATTACCATTCCTAGTTCCCTTATCCCTATCTTTCTGCACTTTAGAGGCTAATTTCCCCAGGCTCCTTTGCGGGTATCTGTAGGCAAGTGACACAGGTCTGGCTAATGAAAAATGAAAGTTTTTCCTTTACTGATAAAAGGAAAGAACTATTTTTCTCTGCCCCTGTCCCTTTCTTCATGCTTAGAACAATGGTGTGATGTCTGGATAATTATAGCAGTCATGTTGTGACCATGAACCAGTATAAGAATGCCCCAAACATTTCATAGTATATACTTACATTAAAAAGAGTACTATAATTTTATATATTATATACAAGTACATATGCAATAAAGAACTGTTAGACTTAACTTAAAAAATTTCATTCCACAAACCCTCAAACCTCTGACTCCTGTTGTTGCTTTATTAAATATTGGGTAGATGAAAAGAATATTCATAAAATAATACATGTCATAAAGAAAAACAATACACTGACCAGCTAGGTAATCGGCACTCAGACTAAGAAAAAGGACAACCTCAGAGGCAAGCTTTATCCTAGATTTTGTTTATCTTTTGCCATTTTAATAATCCCTTATGCTTTCTTTTGTTCATCTTTATCCCCTTTGAAAGGCTAGGAATCAAGACCTTTAGAGTTCCTTCTTCATCCATGTTGCTAATATATGAAACACTTTGGTCCCAACACACTGTATGTTTTAAATTTTAATGTTTATTTGTTTTTTTTTGAGAGAGAGAGAGAGAGAGAATGGGGGAGGGGCAGAGAGAGAGGGAGATGCAGAATCTGAAGCAGGCTCCTGGCTCCGAGCTGTCAGCCCAGAGCCCAACGTGGGGCTTAAACTCACAGACTGAGAGACATGACCTGAAGTCGGATGCTTAACCGACTGAGCCACCCAGGTGCCCCCCAACACACTATATGTTTTAAAATTCAGTAGACAGCCTGACAGCTTCCCTCCCCTCTCAAATTACAAGGCAAAGAGAATGGTGCAACATTAAAAACAGCAGGTTTTAAAGGTTCTCTTTATGTTGGTAACCAAAAGCCTTAGGGAGGACTGAGTTCATCTTTTCAGAGCTGGTTAGATGAACAGAGTACACACAGGATGGGGAGAGGGTCTTACAGTTAGGGTTGGGGGGGTGGTCTTTGTATTCAGAGAAGAAACTTCAACTTTGAGGTTTCTGAAGGGGTTCCCGGGCCCCTCCCTCCGCTCAGTCCTAGTCAGGCAGACCCCTGCCCGAGCCTCCCTCCTGAGATCCTGCATATGCTTCCTTGCTAAATGACTCTTCGCACCGTTATCTCCTCACGGGATACATCTGTTGGGTGCCTTGCATCCTCAGCTCCGTTTTCATCTCTTCATATCTCAACACATTGTTTCCTCCAGTCCTGGTGCCAGGGTGGAAGGGAGCCATCCCGCCCGGCCGCGCTCAGGGATTGGCAGCGAATGAATGATTGGCAGCGGGTATCTCTGTCAGGGCTTTGGCATGCTGCAGAGTAGAAGCCCTGTGCTAATGAATGCCATCTACACCTACCAGATGTGCCACTGGGTGACATGCCAGATCTTTTACATAATGCCATTCTGCCGGACAGGAGACAGCTGGGGGAGGGGAGTATATTTTAATGTTTTAATGCCATGGAGTCTTTTTTTTTTTTTTTTTTAATTCAGATCTCCCGCCACAGCAGATGTACCCAATCAGCTCCCCTTACACTAGGCTAAAACCTATGGCTGAGGGCATCTCTGGAGAGCTGGAGTTCCCTGAACAGATCCCTTGGCTCTCTCCTATACTCATCACATCTTTTTCCTTCCTTGAGTTTGCTCGCCTCTCCCATTCAAACTCGGGAATTTTTTTTAAGTTGAAGATATAAAAACACTGGAAGGATCTGAAATGAAAGGGGTCCACACTTCCTACCCCTCCCCCATTCTCTCCTTCCCTATGCTAAATGTCCAAGAAGAGTTTTCTTCACCTCATCCCCTTCCTCTTCCACCGTCCACTGGAAACTAGAGTGTATTTGTCCCCAAGGGTGATATCCTATCAGTGACTATCCCACGTCCTGGCTGAGTAGTTGTCTCAATGTGTAGGTGTCCAAAAATCCACGCCTTTGGAGAGGAATGTTTCCTAAAGTGGGATGAACAAAGTGGGAGGGAAGGGAAATGAGAAAAACACTTCTGACGGACAGCGGGTGTGTTTTGGCTCCCCACCCCACCCACCCCCACCCCGCCCAGCTCTCCACACTCCTGTCCCGGGGGAAACGGCTGGGAACGGGGATCGGAGGAACTGCCTACTGGGTCCCCCGCCTTCGCTAGACCTGCCAATCGAAACCGCCCCGAAATTCGGGGGCCATGGCAGGGGCAGGCCTCTCCTTCTCCGCCACACACGCAAGCACTCAGGCCGCTCCTGCGCCGCAGACTCCCGTCCTTTGCCCGCCTCGGCCCGAGCCCCGGCCGCCAGGCCCCTTCCCTCGCACCCGCACCCCTCCCGCTGCCGAGGCTCCAGATGGCGGCTCCTCGCGTCGGGCTCGAGGCCCCCAGACGCCGCCCAGCAGCAGCCGGCGGTCGCTCCCTCCCTCCCTCCCAGCTGCTGCGGCAGAGACCAGGATGGACTGCTTTGAGAGGAGGGCAGGCTCCTGCACAGGCTCTGATTGGGACGGGAGCCCCGCCGCGGAGGGGCACGCGGGAGCCGCGCTCACGGGGAAGCAGCTTTGCAGGCCCCAGGTGAGGAAGCCGAGGCGGAGGGGGCAGGAAAAGACGGGAAAGCCGGGCCACTCTCGTGGCGCCCTCACACCCACTCTCCGTCCCTGGCCTTCCTCCGCGCACCACCTCCCAGTCCTGGCGGAGCAGTAGCTGGACCCGAGCACCCGCAAGACCGCGGGGAGCGATCGTGCAGCTGCCAGGAGGGGGCGCCCAACTCCCCTGAGCCGGGGCTGGAGGGCGGGCTTTGCTGGGGATCCCGCCGCAGCCCAGTGGGAGGCTGTCTCGGCGGGCGGAGTGCCCCCTTCTGCCGGAGAGCGGTAATGTCCAGCAGCTGCGGCCGCCCCCTTCCCCATTTTCTCCTCTTCTTCCTACCACCCTCTCTCGCTTCCTATTTGCTTCTCTTTTTACTTTGCCTGCCAGGTTCCGTTCCTACCCTCCGTGTCCCTCCTTCCATTCTGGAACTTTCCTCTCCTTCCTTCGTCCCTGCACACGCTCGGGGAAGGGTTTGGCTGCCCGCGGGGGGGGGGGGGATGCTGGGGAAGGGGATGCATTTCAAGCCTAGACTCCGGCTCCTCTCCACAGATGCTCCTCTGAGTGCCCGACACAGCAGCCCTGAGACTGGCGGCAGGGGTTGAGGTCATTCTCTCGCGGGCCAGGGCCGGGCGACTCTTTATTTGCCGGTGAGTGACGCGTCCGGGAGCAGCGCTTCCCCTGAACCGGGAGTGGGGGACGAACTCCTCTCACAGGACGGATGTATGAAGTTCAGAGGCTTGGTACTGAGCCCCTTTCTCCCACCCAAAAGTCAGGCCACTCGAGGGCATCTTCCCTTTACACATATCCCTAAAAACCCCAAGTCCGTCCCCTGGGACAGTTCTCACAGCTTCCTCCTCCTAAGCAGTTTTGCCGGGTGCCGGGGCGGCACTAAAAGGCCACCGCACCGGGCGTCTGTGCCCATCTGAGGTCCTCTCTAATCCCCCGTGCTCTGGCGCGTGCCCGCAGACCCTCCTCTCACCCCGGCGCCGCGGCCGATGGGCATTAGACCCCCGAGAGCACGTTCCGTAAGCTCCCAGCACAAATCCCCTCGGAAACATTAATCACAACCACCAGTGAATGCAAAATGTGTGCCCGTGCCGTGTCTGCTTTTTAATCCCGAATGTAATTCTGGAAAGCAGCATCAGAAAGGGGCTCTATTAATCCCTTACACGAACAAACACAATCTCTGACCTACTAGACTTGTTTTCCTGCAGTTTCACAAAGAGTTAGCCCCACTCACTAGAGGAATGTTCAAAGACAGGAAAACTGTGAGAGACTTGCCAGGCATTTATGCAATAACGGGGTGCACTTCAGCCAAAAGGCGTACCTGTTGGACAGTGGAATCACTGGCCAGGGATCCCGAAATTCTGCTGGGGCAGCAGCAGAGTATGTCCGGGGAGGGGGGAGAGTGGGCTGGGCAGCAGGCACCTAGAGAGTTTGGAAGCCCCAGAGGAACCCCAGTTCTCTCTCCTCCACAGGCTTGGGACCCAAGTGACCTAATCTGAGGGACTACCTCCTCATGAAGGCGCTAAAGCAGGCAGAAGGGCTCACCCACAACATTCAGGGGTCAGGGTTTGACCCCCTGAGGCCTGTTCCTCGCACTTGAGATTTCAGTCTCATGTCCAATTAATCATCTCTCCCTTCTCCCATTTTGATCAAAACCATCTTCCAGCCCTTCATCATTGTAATTTGCACCATTGCCTTTTATCTGCGATTAATTAGGAAATCGAAGAAGATAACGGAGGGTCGGGTCAATAAATCAGCCGTAGGGACAGACGGATGGACAGACGGTTGGGTGGGGGGTACTGTGTGGGTGGGGCACTGCCAACCGAGCCGATTGGAGCCGCGATGGGCTGCGGCCGGAAGGGGTTAAGGCGCTCATGGCGAGCTGAGTGGAGCGTCTGCTCTGAAATAACCCCAGTGGGCACAAGCAAAGACTTCTCACTGTACTACCGCAGTGGAGAGTCTCCTGAGATTTTTTGCTTTTCCTGTTTGAGTCTAGAAAAAGAGAGAGGAGAGGATTTGGGTGGGGGGAGGGTGGGATTCCTATTCCTGTCCAAGGGGCCTCCCTCCTGGCAGATGAACAGATTTAAAGCTGGGTGTTTTTAGGCTGCGATCTATTTCTTCTGAAGATCAATAGATTTACTTGTGCATCCTTTCCTTCCCTCTCCACTTGTCTGCCAGTCTGAGGGAAAGTGAGAGGAAGGGAAGGTGGAAGGGAGGGGGAGGAAGAAAAAGAGAGACTGAGAGACTCTGTTCTTATGGTCATATAACTCCCTAGCCAAAGAGAAAAGCTTGTAACACGGCATGGCTCCCTGCTCTCGCAGAGGCGCAGGACGGTTCCTTATTCTTTTCTCCCTCCATGGAATCGATCACGCCTCCCAGACGGCTGAAGGAGGGCACTTTGCCACTCTTCACAGCTTCGCCCCAGCCTCTTTAGCTTTCAATTGAAAACCAATTAAAGGTTTCTATAAATCTGTTAGCTCCCCTTTTATCTGGGGACCCCTGATGCATGCGATACTGCCCTTTAGATGCCTCTTCCGTGTTTTGTTTTACAATTGTTGTATCAATATAATGCGGCCTTTCTTCTCCTGTCTCTATAGATACAGATACACAAGGAAAACCAAAGCTATTCAGTCTCCTCATTTGTCCAGCAGCCTAACAGTGGTGCCCTTTCTCTGCTGCTGCCTTCCCTGCTTCGGGAGCAGCAGTTATGGTAGAAGCAGATGGCTACTGATTGGGGGAGCTTTGTGGCTCTAATACTGAATACTTTATGGAAAAGGACTTTATCATGCTTCGCTGGGCAGAGGAACAAGGGGGTGAGATTTATGGCCAGGAAAAATAAATCTTTTCCAAGTTGTGGCTCCTTCTCACCAGTTGTCTCCTTTGCTGGTGGTGGGAGGGGGGGGGTCAAAACACCGAGGAATTGGTTTTATTTTATTGTATTCTCTTTTCCGCTAACATCACTTCTTAGTCTGAGAGGAGAGGAGACCAAGAGCCAGAAGGTTATGAAATACCTTAGGTGACTGTTGCTGCATCAGCATTCTCTGCCCTCAGGAAAAAAGCAGAAGGGAATGGTCTTGAACGCTGTCTGGGGCCAGGTTTTCCCGGACGTCCTGTTCGTTCCTGGGTAAAACATCATCCTCCATTATGCTATTCTCTATAGGGAACAAAAAAGGATGTAAGTGCTCCCATCCGAAAAATCAGAGGAGGTCACTGGTATTGAAGGAGTGGAGCCCTGATGAGGCATATGGTGATGTAGGTATGCTCCCCACTCTGAAAGGGTCTGAGCTGCGAGGATGATTAAGGGATGTGTGGGAATGACAGTTTTGGGGCTCCTCCTCGAATTTTCAAGCTTTGGGGAATATAGAGATTCCAACACTCCGCTGAAGGTCTAAAGCACCCCAGGATGACTGACCCGTGCGTCTTTGCTCTTTTCTTCTCCTCACCTGAGTTTTACCTCTCTTGAGTCAGGTAGGCTCTCTGTCTGTTGCAGGAATGCAGCCCTTCTCCGTATGCAGTAGGCTGCACCTTTACTCCTCTTGCCCCCCAAACCTGTTCCCTAGAGCAGTGCCACCCTGTCTTCTACCCCTCCTTTAGGTCTCCCCCTCCCAGGGGCCATGACTAAAGACAGAAATGCTCCCAACTTGCCTACTGGCAGTTGGGCACAGAGACATGGAAGCCACGTCCAATCGTGGGTCTCCCATTCCACATCAGACCCCTTATCTTCTTAACATTTGAAACGACATTTTCTACTCAAGAAACGTTTGTTGCGAATCTTTCGTGTTCCAAGCTCCTTTTCTCTGCCTTTCCTATTATTTTACCTTGTCCCTAGAAACTGAAGAGGAGAAGCTAGGAGGAAGGAAAGGCATGCAGCTTCCAGCCACAAGCTAATTCTTCCCAATTCTGTGGGTACTATCACCCCAAATACCCACACACGCCTTTGTGCACTGTTTCTCTCTGAAAATAAGGGAAAGTGAAGCAGGACAAGCAAGATTTAAAAATTACATTTATCTAGATTTCAAAGTGGCAAGCACTGAGATACTTGAAGTAATTAACTGTTTGGGCTCCTGCTGCATGCTAGGCCGAATGCTCTGCCAGGCTTATCACATTTAATTATAACCCTCTGAGTCAAACGCTATTCTCTCTAGTTCACAGATCCCCTTCCTTCACAGGAAACAGACGCACAGAGAGGCTAACTAGCCCGAGCAAGAAGTCCAGCTGGGATCTGAACCCCGGCTTCCTCTTGCCACCCTGTGAGATAAATGTTGTTTTTGCTATTTTCCAAATGCGGGCACTCAAATTCAGAGAGGTTAGGTGATTCGCTCAAAGACACAGAGCTAGCAGATTCCTAATAAAAGTGTTTAGGAAGCCAAATTTGGAGCTCTTAACCACCCCCCCCGGGATCCTTCACAAGAAAGAGCAATAAGGAGCCCGCAACTGACCTCGGTCACCGGGCCCCGGCCTGGGCGGGAGGTTTCCCAGAGCTCGAGGCTACCGGCGTGGGGGCGGACAACGCGCCTGCTCCGGGCCGCGGCTGCGCGAAAGCGGCGGGCGGCCCGGGGAGGAAGCTCAGCACCGCAGCCCCGGCCCCGACAGGGGCCCCGTCGGCCTTGCGGCCCATAATGCTCCGCGCGCAGCCCGCGTGCGGGCGTCCGGGGCGGGGCCAGAGGCAGTGGGAGTGAGAGAACTCGCCGTGCTCGAAGTCCCCCGGGCAGCGGCCCACCTCGCTCCCCAGACTTGGGTGTGGAGGGGAGAGCCGCGGCTGCCCTGCACGCTCCAGAGCTCGCCCGCTGCTGAGCCGCCGCCCTTCGAGGCAGAGAAGGGGCAGCGTCGCTCAGAGGCCCTGGGCCCCGATCAGACCGGCGGCGTGGTGCCCCGGGCTTCTCTGCCCACCCACACTTTGGCTTTCTGGCTGCAGCTCTTGAGTTAATCCGCGAGGCATCCCGTGCTGCTTGTCCTACGTGCGGGGTCGAACTGCCTCAGCCTTTGCTGCCCTCACTTCCCTGCGTTTCTAACGTGGCGCCGCTATCAGTTCTAACGAAAGGACCCCCTGACGACTGAGGGATGGAAGTCTAATCAGCCTCCTGGCACAAAAGTGCTGCCTCTTCCGTAAAGGGGAGGAGGGAATGGGGACTGCCGCCCCTGCTTGGAACATTCGGGCCCTTCCTTCAGTAGCAGCGATCCCTGAATACCTGAACAGATTCTTCCTGCCTCTATCCTCCACTACCTCCTTCCGGGTTCCCTAGAAACTTCGAGAATTCCTGTAGCCTTCGCTGAGTGGCTTTGAAAGCGGGTGCACAAGTCCCAAATTTTTTAAAAAGGAAACGCAGGCAGTGTTACTAACAGTGGCATTAGCCCGCACTGAAATAAGTATGTAATATGCGCCAGGTGTTGTTCTCCGCACTCGCTAAGTATCACCTCACCCCTCTCGATAACTTTATGAATACGATTTCCTTTACCACTCTCGGTTCTCAGATGGAGGCCTGAAGCACAGACCGGTTAAATTATCTGCCCGGGGTCAGGGGCCAGGATTCGAACCCAGAGAGTTTAGCTCCCCTAGTGGAGCTGGGGCCTGAACCTGAGTTGTTGGTCCTTCTTGGGTCAGTTCTCCAGACTTGTGAGTCAAAAGAATGCTCCCTAATAA